GCAAGCCAACAATAAGACATGAACAACCCAACGGTGAGATATAAACAACCTAACGACGAGACATTTGAATATTGTACGAAATATCCGAATTCTCAAATAAGGATAAACAACGAAAAAATAAAACCTTTGGAAGGAAAGATAATTAAAACCTGGAAAAAAATTACACCTGAAAGAAAAGATTATTATTAAATTATTAAAGAGGGAGCGAACAACCCAACGATGAGATATAAACAACCTAACGATGAAACATTCGAATATTGTACGAAATATTCGAATTCTCAAACAGAAATTAATATAAACGAAAAAAGGACACCTGAAAAGGGAAGAATTAATTAATACCTGAAAAAATAAAAAAATAATTAAAATCTGAAAAGAAAAAAAAATTAAAACCTGAAAGAAAATACAAATTAGTCCTGAAAAGAAAAATTGTTTAATGGGGTGGGATGAAGTTGGGGTAGCCAACCCCAACCTCATTTCGGACCCCACACCCCTTCCCGCACGAAAAATTTTAGATGTTCGACCTTCGAAGTCGAACCGACAACTGACTCGAGCCTCGGCGCGTCGCCCCTTATATAGCCGCCGATCGGCCGACATTCGACGGAAATTTCCGAAATTTACCGATCCCATTAATTGTTATTTTTCCGCTATAACAGCTAATATTTTATTAATTTTTTCACTTCTATTATAAATATACGTTGTAGACAATTTGTTATTAACAATATTAATTTGTTATTAACAATAAATTGCAACAATTCATAAACTGTTTGCAAATTATAGGTACATTTTGACACAAATATGTAACAAGTTCAACTAATAGCATACAATTTAGTAATTTTTTCATTGTTATTATCAATTTACGTTGGAAACAATTTGTTATTAACAATAAGTGTAATAATTTATAAACATTTTGTACCTTACAGGTACACTTTAACATAAATACGTTATAACTTCAAGTAATAGAAAATATTAATTAATTTTTTCACTTTTAGTATAAATTTACGTTGTAAATAATTTGTTATTAATAGTGCATTAGTTAATTTATACGTCTATGTCTTCACCAAGGATTTGCTTGGGCCTGTTGGATAGTTCCTGGATTCTTTCCACTGTTCTGACTTTTCCTCGCAAATCTATTTCATAAAAATTTGTCGCGTATTGAAAAATAATATTAAATGTAATTTTAATCCAACGCTAGTATAATTCATCTTTAAGGGGTTCAGCGTGAAAAAGGGGTTGACTCCTATCCAAGGTTTGCGAAGGATGCAGAAGCCGCGAACGAAAATGGTTCGCCATGAAACAGGATAGTTTGGCGAAAAGGAGTGGAGGGTTGTAGAAAAAAGTTTCAGATTTCTAGGGCCGAGAACGAAAATCGGTTTCTTCTCGTGGAAGAGGAGGGTGGGGAATAAGGGGCGGAAATTGCGTACAAAAGAAAGGAATTTGATTCCATCTGTCGTCGATGTTGCGACCGCCGAGAAAAGGAAGAACTTTTTCGGTCGTTTACCAGTGGCGAGAGCGAAACGAGGAAGGGTTCGTTCGTTGACTCCACTCCAATGTCTATTTGGGTGAATTAGCGATGGAAGGGTCCTCTGAGGGTTGGGTTCCGCGTGTTTTCATACCGATACTGGACCTAACCCAAACCGTACGAAACTGTAATCGGGGGTTCATGATGAAATTTTGCAAATAAACGAGGAATCAAAGGTGCTTTAATGGGGAAAATTAATGGGGAATGGAGATAATTATAACAGATGGCAATTATGCCAAAAATTTCACTTCGTTGATTATTATTTATAGTTCGTTTAGATTTAATTAACATTTCAAAACAGTTCGGAAATAGATCGTGCGAGTTTAATGAAAATATATTCTACATTATTTCTGATATAATTAAACCGTAGAATCGATGTCGAGTTCGTTAATAATTTCGTATAATATGTCGACAGAACGGGAAATTAATATTAAATCTAATATCTTTTAAGTATTAATAGTTTCATACCTTCGTATATCGATTCGTTGAAAAATATACTACTACTGTTAGTGAAATGACTAAATAAATGATCAGACGTGCTTTATGGAACGGTCTGTACCTGTGATCATGGGGAAAAATACGAAATATTTTCATTCTCGACGTATGGTTGTTCAAAATTCTAACTATAGCCACACAGGAGTATTAAAAATTTCATCATATATTCTAAAAATAGAGAGAATTAATCAATTTGGTATATGGTTGATTTACTGTAAAAGAAACAAAATTAAATTAATTTCACTATTTCTACTTCAAAAATTTTTTGGTCCTCTTATCACTGATTCCAGACAGACTTACTCAACAAAAAATTTTATTTCGGAAAGAAAAAAAAAGGAAAGGAAACGAACATCTTCAACCACACATGAAACCAAAAAAGAATAAAAAACAAAAATGAACGAATTAAAATTTTTCTAACGCTAATCACCTGATAACGACGGAAAACAAATAATGAAGTGGTTAAGGCACGTACACACCGGCGTCACGTGAAAGTAGTGACAAACTGCGGCGCAGTGGTGGTAGTGGCTTTGAGCAATCAACTGATTCTCTTCAGCCTCTAATCTGTTATTTCTCCAGCTGATCAGCCCACGGTTCGGTTCGACCAATAAATTTCCACGGGCCCCGCCACCAGACGGGACACATTGTCCGCCGTATTAATTACCCTCTCCCGTTTAAGTAGCGAATAATTAAGCGGCATATTTCATTAGGTTACAGCTTAATCACGATACCACCGTCCATAATTAATACGGAGTATGCGTCGGTGCACGCGATCGCGCTGTTCGTTGAATTTCGCGGGAATTTCGCCGCATGACCGATCGTGTCGTTATCAGCGTTCGTACATAGTCGTTTAGGACCTTGCGTAACCCGTCGACGATTTGTCCTTCTTATCGCGGACATGGCTCCCCGGGGTGAACGTTGCGTAAGGATCGTCGAGATGAAATTGATCGTCTCGCCATGACGCGGAAAATTAAGCCACACCCGAGATGGTATCTCCCGTTTCCTTTTTTAACCCCTTCACGTGACCGCCGCTAACTCACTAGCGCCACCGCGGCCTCTAACTGCAGTAAACGTATCGTAAATATCGTATACCTTATCGAATTATTTTTCAATTTCTAATTTTGCTGATCTAGTCCTGGAATTTTCTTACTGCGTATACTCGTTAAATAATATCTCTATTACTTATTACTATTACACGAGATAGAATCATGAGGGGTGATGTATCTGAGAGATGCAAGGGTTAGGTTTGGGTCGATAGTAATCTTCGATATCTTCGTGATTTATTTATACGAGATACATATCTTCCAGGGACACTCTGTGTAAATATAGACACACGTTCTAGTACCTCGAAGGGTGAAAATTATTTATGGCAGAAATTCTTTCTTCGTATATATCTTATTCCAGACTTATGCGTGAAAATAATACGATTAAAAGAACGTTTCTACTTTAACGCGAACAATGACGATGCACACCATTCTGTAACCTGACGTCGAAAATTTATCACGTTTCATTTTATTGAAAAATAATTGACGCGTCATCGACACAGTGGCACGCGTTTACTCTGAATAATTACATTCCACGGTACGCTTCGAGGATACAAAAGCTCGAATATTAATCAGCCTGAAAGGATTGATACGTTTCATATTTCCATCGTTAATGGGAATCTTTTACCAAGGTTATGCTGAATTCTTCCGCGACTGTCCAAGCAATATTGACAGTTTCGAAGATACTATTGATAATGAATCAGTATCCACGAAGAATTTAGAATTTATGCATACACCATCGATCTAATTGTAAACGTGATCTAATTTCATTACGTATCTAAAAATAATTAAAAAATTCAGCCAAGAATTTTATCTCGAGATTTTATTCTACCCAAAGCTCCGTCAAATGATGTAATGAAATTATCATATTGGAAATCCACGTGCACAAAGGCACAATTAAAGCGTAACGCAGATGAAATAACTCACGATACGTCTGTGGAAACTCCTTTCCACCTACAATTGCCAGTTCACCCCTTCGAAAGCGACTTCTCCGGATCGACAGCAGCCTTCCACCCCCCGTTTCGCCCGCAGCGTTCGTTTAAACCGTACTCGGAATCGGTACTAAACGCCAGCGAGCAGGGGTCTGTCATGCGTCATTCTCGCAAAGATCTAGAAGACACGTGAAAGAGATTTGCTCGTCTGCGATGAAAGCTAGCGATCGCGGACGAGGAAATAATAGAAAAGCCAGGGCAATCGTCTTTCGTCAGCGTTGACAGAGACGTATTGGATTTTTATTGGGTTTCGGTCAATCAATGCGACCGAGGCGCGTCGACGGTTCCTCCGGATCAGCGGAACATAATGGAGAATCAACGCGACCAATCACTGGAAACCTGTTTCCCTCATCCATCGTTCTAGTTCGTCGATCTCTATCTCCTGCCGAACGTTTAAACGATATTAGCAGAAAATTCGGGACGGAGAATAGGACGAGCTTTACCAGCTCTGGGTACCAGCAGGACGCCGAGTGTCTGCCAAAGGAGGCGTTTGCGAGTCTACCATGAAACTTCTTGGAACGCGTTCGACAACGAGGGTTGTTACTCTAGCGGTATCGTGAAATATTTTATTAGCAGCTCTGCGCTCTATAGGCTCGTGGAAAAGGACTCTGAGTGCAGTGTCGTATCGAAGGGAATTTAGGGTCCTCGAGTCTCCGGGTTTACTCGAGGGGAACTGTTTAGCCCTGTTGGAGAGAACTCTGGGGACTGAGAAATTGTCAAGGGATTGGAAGAATCGGAATTGTAAGAATCGTACCGATTCCAGTAACCGTGAAATATGTAGAATAGTAATGAAACACACAGGCTTGAGGGGTATTGGAAATGCTGGAAAATTACTTTATCCATCAGCGGTATTAATCAGTCAATAATGAAATGCAACGATTGAAGTTGTCAACGCTTATCCGCGATTAGATATTATTTTTAATTAATGAATGAACCACGCTCTTCTGATTACAGGTGCCACTCTGCTGTTCGACGTTGAACTGATCGACATCAGCGACGCTCCTCCAACCGCGAACGTGTTCAAAGAGATTGACAGCAACCATGACAACCAGTTGTCCCGCGAGGAGGTGAGAGTAATGGCAAGATCCCTTTCATATTTTTCTAAGGGTCATTCGTGGTGATGGTATCGATATGTAGATACGAACAAGTGACTGGCAGAAAAATTCACGAGTGAAAAGAACGAATAAAAGGATATATAAAAATAAATAGAGGAAAAAAATATTTACACGTAGTATTTGGAAAATTATTGTCACAAGTTACTCTCGATATCGGTTATCGAGTGTACATCCGTTTACGTATAACGTGAAAGACCCTGAGAAATTAAAACGAAAACGGTTTCATGCAGTTCACGAAAAGCTTCATTCCATTATTAATAAAGTGTCACCGAGGATTAACGAATCCTTTTGCGCCGTGGATTATTTTTTTTTTTATCCCTTCCTCGTCCAAATTCCATTCGAAATATGTTTTTTTTTGTTTGGTGGAAATAAAAAAGAAAATTGTTTTGACAGTTCCGGTCGCCTCATAAAATTTGTACGGATCAAAGCGTAGACCAATCACAGGCATCGGTTGATGCTGGCTTTATCTTTGGTGTGCAAGTGCAAGGGATTAACATGTGCACATTGTTCCGAGGGAAAGGGACGCAATGCTCGTAACATTGCACTTTTTTTCCACTCTTTGTGTCGTGTAACAAACGCGCACGACTAATCCTTCGCCACCTCTCTCTCTCTCTCTCTCTTTCTCTCTTTCTCTCTTTCCATCTCTGTCGCTGTTTCGGTTTTCCATTCCCTCTCGAATAGAGATACGTTTTAATCATTTTAAAATATTGTGCGACTGACAAGTTTTTAGCCGTGAATATATTGCGTCGGGATACATTTAAAAACATATTCGCGAGATTTTTATTTTATATATATATATATTTTTTTTGGGGTCGCTTTCGGCTTATTGCAGAAAAAAGGGCCTTTGAATAAATAGAAATATGCTCGTGCACCGAATTTATGTGCTTCATGTGCTTACGTTATTTAAAAATAGCTCGAAATATGCTGTTGCGGACCTTTGACCGATGAATCCCATTTTCATTTTATTTTCCTCTTTTTTCTTTTTTAGGGGTTTTTCGAGTGGGAAATTTTTTTGCTTTTCGTGCTATTTCGTTTTTCAAAGATTTATTTCGAACGTTTAAATCTCTTTGTACTGCGACGCGTTTCGCCGCAGTGAATCATCCATGATCTGTGATTGGCTTGGTACAATTTTTAGAATGGACATGGAAACTAGTATGGTAGATTACTGAGATAATTTTGTTCCGAGTATATTTCATCGTATATTTCACCATCAGGAAGAACAGGAACAATGACTCGTCACGGTTTTCCCTATAATTCCTTTTACAATTGCACTGTGCTAAATTAACCCTTCTCTCTCGCGAGTCTTTACTTAAAAATAAACTAATCTGAAGTTGATATACGAAGAATCGTAAACAAATATCTATTGTACATGATGTGCATGCAAAATAATTATAATCACCCTATACAGCGAGCACTCGACTTGTCGAGTGACTATAGTCACCCCTAATAACGCAAGAGTTATCCTTCAACTGACAACGTGGCATTGAATCGTTTTATTTAAGCTAGAATTAAAAAAAAAGAAGATTAATTCACACTAATTAGCAAACATTTCTACTGGTAAATTATCATAGTATAATAAGAATAATATATTCGTTGCCAGTTGAAGGTTAAACAAACAAATGACCAAAATTCGCAAACTCACCCCGCACAACCCCAAAGCCTCTCGCATAATCAGCACAGCTGATCTAACATTTAGAAAAATACACGAAACTCAGATTCCAAAGCTAATCTCGTTATTCGTTGGCGCAGTTGAGCGACTACCTGAGGAAGCAAGTGATCGAGGCGGAGCAGGGCAGCGCGAGCGAGAACGAGCAGGTGAAGAAGATGCTGGTGGACCACGACAAGCTGGTCGAGGAGATCTTCCAGCACGAGGACAAGGACAAGAACGGCTTCATCTCCCACGACGAGTTCAGTGGGCCGAAGCACGACGAGCTCTGAAGCCTTCGCGCCGCGTCGCCGCGTCTCCGAGCACCGCGTCGCCGACGGCGTCGTGTCTCGCGCCACCACGTGTTCACGTCCGCGCGGAATCGCCTCCTCGAGTCCTGGCCGGCCCGCGTCCAACACCTATGAACACGGCACCCTCCGCAGCTGTGTCGCCGATCGACTCTCCGTTCTGTCGTTTGTCCGTGGACCTGTGCCGCGAACATCCGCTTTTCCACGCGTCTGCCGCGCGGTGCGCACGAATCTCTCGAGCAACAGAGAAGCAGAGAAGAAGGAGCGAAAGAAACATGGGAAGCCGGGAAACGCGGTCGTATCACTTCTTTGCCAGGGGATTTCTCTCGCGAGGGGAGGACCAGTCGCTGCTGGGGGAACGAGAGGTAGCCCGAGGGTACCTGGCCCCGGAGGAACTCCACGCAGGGACTCGACCGACGAATTCACCCTTCTCTGGGATCGCAAAAGGGCGTTGAGAGTGGAAGATAGTTCGTCCAACGGGATTCTTCTTCAATCGCGAGACTGTCATGAGCTTGACCGAGCTTAACTCGAGCGATTGGAAGAGTCGGTGGATTAGAGCCTGTCTTGGAGGTAGACTAGGAGAGGAAAGCTCAGACCGGGACACCTCTTGGGACCATCGAGCATACCCTCGAGCGTTTCCGTGACCCTGAGGGAAGGTCTCTTCCTCTGTCTTCCGGAAGAAGAATTGCAACCATCCTCAGCGACCTGGCGAGGCCTCTGTTGGAACCATAATTACGCGGGTGCATAGAAGAAGGGCAAGAATAAAGGGAAAGAAGTCGGGCCATGTTAGGGAAGTTTCGCGTAACTCTCGCGCTGTTTCCGGTCGGAGATACTACCTCCAAAGACGCACGCGATCTTTCGCATCGGACGATGTGCAGGATGTATAAGAACGTTTCATCCTGGCTATCATAGGCACACTCTAGACCTACGGATTGACCAGAACGCGAACCTTTGAATAAAGGTGTATGAAATATCATACACGAAGGGATTTACCTTCTTTTAACGAGTTTCCATCCACCTGGAGATTTAAGAGACGCCCGTGACAGCCAGGACGGAACATTTTTGTACACCCTGTATGTTCCCGAGTGGGCCTGACTCGCGATGAGGACTGAAGGCACGGCTGGTCGAGCGATCGAAACCCTGACACGAAGCGAGGCTGTTCTACGTAACATAATTATACAAATCTAGATAGAAAGAGATGAAGAGAGAACGGGAGAGAGAGAAGGGTGTCTATGTGAGAGACAGAGCGAAAGAGTAACCGAGAGAAAGTGTTTTTTCTACACGACTATAGATGTTAGCGTATCAATTAAGCGCATCGACGTAACGGTGCTATGGATCACACACGAAACACATTCTACCCCTCTCTCGAAAGCTTTCTTCCTTTTCATCCAACCGCCCGCCTTTTTACGCCGTATCGAAACACATACCCCCGAAGACATACGTGTACACGCGTACATATACATACACACGGGTCGTCGGGACCTTTTTCACGAGCATCACGAGCCCCGCCGGTATTCTCAGCCACGAATTTCACGCGAGAGATGTGTATCCAGGAGTCGAGGAGGAACCTCGATCGGCCGCGAGAGGGCCTCGAGGATGCGTGGTGGAGATGAATGGCGGTCGCAGACTACGCGGTCTTTTTTCTCCCTCGATCGTCGCTATCATTATTACACTTTTAACTGATACGTTTTTATTACTACATTATATTGTATGTTGTTAAAGTTGGACGAAGGTTAATAATAAATCGTGTGTCTCGAGCACAGTTTGTTATATAAACTGGCTTGTTTGATTCGCATGCAGCTTCAACC